AACATTGAGCAGTCACACCTGCTTAACTTCATTGACTAACAGAAAGTGTTTTTTTTTAAGTATTCAGCCAGGTAAACCAACCGAGAGAAGGTATCTCAACTGATTGAAATTCCAATCCAGTGACTGCCCAGCCATTGCCTGAAAACAATTACCACAAGGGAGGACCACTGGAAAATTCTACAAGGCCCAAAATACAAGAAAAACAGGTTTCAAGTATTCTTTTGAAGAGTGGATTTTGCCTTAGTTCTATAGACTGCAGGCCCAGCTAATGCCAGCAGAATCCAATAGACAAAAATTACAATTTAGTTAGCAATATGCAGATGGTATAAAGCTAACCGCCTTGCGTCGATTCACTCTCCTGCGTAAAATGTCACCGCCGTCACCTCTTTCGGCAGGCAATATTGATTTTTCTTTTCTGAAATAAAGAAAAACATCTCCGTGGGCAAAACTGGCCGTTTGGAATAACAAGCGGCTGTCGAGGAACCTGGCCCACAATGCACAGGGTGTTATTGGCCAGGCGGCCAGGCCAACACATATGCTGGCCTGACAACTGTAGCAATTTGAATAACTGTGACTTGCCATTGGGGGTTTAAGCTATCTACACAAATATACCTAAACATAAAAGAGAAACAAACAAGAATCAGAATCAAACCAACCACAGCAGTTTTATAGTTACATTAATGTGGACAGCTCAGAATAACACTATTCAAAAATTCCGTCCAAGAATGAGACATTTCACAGCTTTTGGAATGCCTACGTAGCATAAATTTACTAGTGCTATCCCATTTCTGGCCAATGCATATTTTCAGTAAATCAGTCAACCAAGGAATTTGTCAAATGTCATTTTGAATGTTTCCTTCATTTTTGGTTTCTTCAATTCCAGTTCCTCCAAGACAGGTGTCAGTTCCTTCCAGCCCTTTTCTTGCTATGAAACCTGAACCAGGGACATCCTTCACAAGGCTCCTTGGCAACAAAGTCTCCTCTCTTCCTTCAAGTCTGTCCATCCTCTGGGAATTGCATGCTGGGATACACTATTAACA